AAGCTTTCCAAAAGTTTCCAAAAGTCAGTGCGCACTTTCTTTATAAAGTCCCTTATTCAAAAGTATTGAAAAACAAAAAAAACATTCAAGCAAAGGGGGTAGTCCAGCAAGCAGCTTTCTGACATTATTTAGGGCGGGGCCCTAGAATAATGTCTAGAGATTTGAGGCTTTAAATCGTTATTCCTTTTCTTTGCCTATTGATTTGCTTTACTTACCATTGAAATTGCAGGTCTTTGGATTCAGATTTCCATTGAAATTTAAAAAGTTAGTTCTATTTCCATTGATTCATTCCCTTTTTTTTGTAATTAATATTCCAGATGTCTTCAAAGTTAGGTTTCTTGATTCCTTTTATTTTAATATTGCCAGAGTAGCTCCAGAGGTAGCTAGCTAAGGATTCCTTATTTAATTATCAATTGATTGATTTGCTTATACATTATATTGGAGGCCTTGGTTGTTGAGGGGGGGGAGTTTATAAATCAAGAGTCAACATTACCTCACAGCTTCATTCGCTCCTCCTACCCTAGACCATCCATCGGACTGGCACATAGGATCCATGGGGGATCAGACCTGGGGTGGGGTGGGCCAGACCTGGCGGGTTTCATATTGCCATTCTGGATGGTCTACGGGAACGCTCCTCCTTGGCCCGTCCAAATTCACCGTCCTGGTACTCGGATCGAAGGAAAGCCAAAGCGGCAGCGGTGAGCCGGACTTCAACCTCGCCGTGAGGAGCCTCGGAACCGCTCGCGGTCGACCGACGCAGGAACTCGACCGGGAACTCGCGGCTGCGCAGGGTAAGCAGGCGTCCGCGCGGGCGGGCTCGGGGAGGGTGCTGGAGGCTTTGGCCTCGGACGGGGGGTGTTCTGGAGGCCGGCCTGGGAGCTTGAACAAAGGTGCTGGAGATTGCTGGAGTCTGGAGGAAATGACATGCTCCATGACACGGTATGTCTCCTAGCGAAACCTCCGCGAAACGTCCGACGGGTCTCCAGCACCCGGGGAGACCCACGGGTCTCGAGTGGACCTGCGGAGACCGGCGGTTGTGTCCCTTCCATCCGACCTGTGACCAACTCCTACCTCAACCAGCACGTCCTTTGGATGTTCATCCGCACAAAGAAGCTTCAAGCTTAGCTGTGCGCAGAATCATCCGGTGGTTCCCTTCTCCACCTTGCTTCGCCCTAAAGATGGCTTCATACCATGAAAGAAAATGCATTGGCTTCCAGCTGATCCGAGAATGAGATAGCTGGTATTTTCGGCAGCTCCCTGCCAGCTGGCAGCTGGTCGGCCGAGGATTTCCCTGTCTTATACCCAGGTGCAAGGGGGCACCAGAGGGATCGACGATGCTGGTGGCGGGCACGGCCTGCTGGAAGTTCTGACCTGCGAAGAGGACGAGCTGCGCTTCGCTGCGAGGAAATCCCCAGAGACTGCCAGACACTCCATGCACCTGGACCATGCCCTGTCTGGAAGCCTATAGGTAGTGTGGGGTAGTCCATTGGACACCCCGACAGGATGGTCCTGGCATGTCATATTTACATTGACTCAGCTGAGGCCATCTATCTCAGTGATGTCCGACCTTTGGAAGAATAGAGGGGTCGATTTGGTACCAAATACCTATTGGGGGTATCCCCTCTGTCAATCGACCAACCAATAGTGAAAGGCAATCTATGACGTTGACCCCTTTTCAACCACCCCAATGTATCAGGGTAAATATGCCACAAGAACCAGCACCCTCCAACAGGTCAGTACCTGCCATTGAGAGCTCCAAAAAACATCGTTTCGGAGACCTGTAGAGAAATTGGTGCATGCCCGGACCATCCAAGGGGTGCCCAATGGAAGCCTATAGGTAGTGTGGGGTAGTCCATTGGACACCGCTTGGATGGTCCTGGTGGTAGATATTTACAGTGTCTGAGTGTCTGGGCCCAAACAACCTTTGGACTTGAAGGTTGGATCGGTGACCTTAATTGGTCTGTCTCCTTATTGGAGGTGGCCCATCTTATCTGGCCATCTCCACCTCTGAGATCTCCCCATCTCCTCTTGGCAATGGAGAAAAATTAATGAAAATGATTGACTACTCACCTGGCAGTGGAAATATGTTTGAATAGGATCTCGTCTACGAGACTGATGATCTCTGAGATCCAAAGGTTCCACATGCTGGTTAGACTCTCGTGAGCAAGAAGTCAATTTCAGGTCTGCTTCTTCCAATCAGCCAAGACCTTCCAGCTTTGATGCCCTTCGCCCCCAGATCGAGGGTCCCCTCTAAAACCCCTAGCAGTCCGTGAAAGCGTGTGATATCCATGGCAAGAACTAGCAGCCCCTGCCCCGTGTACCCGTGGGCGCGCCTACTTTGGTCCAGATATCCGGCACACTCTGCACCAAGAAGGGCCGCGCATTCGCCTCCTCAAAAGGTGCGCCCGCTGGTGTGCTCGGTGAGTGCAAAGGATCTGGCGCTGGATCGCTCGGAGAGAAGTCTTGGTGGGGAAAAACGTCTCAAAATGATCCAAAATTCGTCTGGGACTCCACAGGGTGCAGGTCTCAAACAACCAGAATCGGGATATCTGGGTTGAATACCAATATTCAAAACCCATCACGTTGCAGAGAAAGTGAACAATTCTTTCTTGAAATTCCTTGAATCCACCCGATAGAATGGTTGGATGCGAGTTTTGGAGTCTTGAGCTACTGACCAGATTGAAGCCGAGCCATACAACCCTCTTAAACCCTCAAGCAAAAAAAGATCTGACTCGAACATCACCGACATCACAAGCTTCCACGACGCATTCTCTCGTCATCGAGCGCGGCGAGCCAGTCGTCCGCGCTTCCACCGGGACCTTTTGGCGCGCCTACGGCAAAGAGCTCCAAGTGTGCGGAAGGCAGCTCTTCATCGCCCTTGGCACCTGACGTCGCGTCGCGTCGTTCGCGATGCAGACCCACACAAGTTGCCACGGGGTCCGTGGCAAATGGGTCCGGACCGAAGCATCGTGGACAGAGGCGGTGTCCGAGTTCGAGACGTCATGCACCAACCTCCCCCAGGCCGAGACGTTCACAACGGAACAAGTGCATCGCTACTAGTAACAAGGGCCTTACTAGTAGTAACAAGAAGCTAGTGGAAACAAGAATTAATAGCTTCTTGTTACTACTAGTAAGGCACTTGTTACTATAGTAGCGATGCACTTGTTCCTGCACCAACCTCCCCCGGGCCACCGAGACGTTAACCCCCGTCGCTTGGCCTGGCGCGTCGCCCCCAAACGTCGCTGGATGCTCGGTCTCAGGTCATGGCTGTGTGCACCCAGGAGCCCCGGTCACGAGGGTAGGTGGACCCCCCAGGCAGTCTATCCCGTTTGGCCTCCAGGAAGGTACCGAACCTAGGGAGGTGGGACTGGGGGCCCGGGTGCCAGGGCTCAGTCATGCCGAACCTGAGTTTCGGTACGACTGGAGCCCGGGTCGGGTATCTATCCCTACAAGTCCAAGCCAAGTGAAACCTGCTCCGTCAGGTCCGTCAGCGTCTCAGGTCCGTCAGGTCTCAGGTCCACGGGTCCCGGTCGTCCGCCATGCCAAGCTGCGCAAAGAGATCCGCCAACTGCCAGGGGCGCCGACACGGCCCAAAAGGCTCCCATGCCTCGGTTCTGCGCCGAAGACGTCGCGATTGGACCTGCGCCGCCGGCCACACAACCGGGACCGTTGTCCAGGAACGGCGGTTAGAAGTGAGGGTCCAACGTTGGAATAGGCTGGATGTGCTTGAGGAACCTATGACTTGGGGCTGGAAACACCTCTCAGGACCCACTTGGAGTTGGGTGAGTTAATGGACACCCCGAATCACCTCTTTTCGGGGTCATCAATAGAAGCCCCTGGCCCGGGTGTCCTGGTCTATTCCCTGTAAAATGAGATTCTTTGGGACTTAGGGAGCCTCACCCAAAGGAACGGAAATTGCCCCTGGCCCAGCAGAAAGAGCAGAAAGGAGTTTGAGCCAAACGCGCGATGAGTGTCGCTGCAAGTGGTCGAAAGGTGTGTCTGGTGTGGGACGTTCGTTTCTCTCACAGGTTTGTTCGGGACAAAAGGTGTAATGTCTCCTGTCCTTTCAATGAGGAATCAGGTGGTGGAGTGCAAAGCGAAGAAAACAAAACTTCAATTTGCAAAAGACGCTGGAAGGAAGAGACTGTCTTCGTTCTCTGCAAGCTTTGAGGTCCATTGCTGAGGGGGGAGATCGACACCTCCTTCGAAACTGAGGCTATGGGCCCCCAACAGTTCATGCGGGAAAACTGTCAGTAGACCCACATCACCAGCCACTGATGACCTACTCTGGACCAACAAATTCAAATGTTCCACTGCGAGAAGTATGATATCACAAAAAGCTGATGGCACTGGAAGAGAGTGTGGCACACGTCCACAGGTCCACATGTAAAAGATTCTCTAAGTACCAGGATCATCCAATGGGTGTCCAATAGACTACCCTACCCTATTTACAGGTCTCCATTGGGCACCCGTTGGAAGTGCTAGGTAGTCACATGCCAGCCACTTCCAGGTCTTTTTGTTCGAGGGTTAGGCCCGACAAGCGGTCTCACTTCGTGATCTGCTGCTGCAACATCGACGCATGAAAAAACCTGGATCTTCCAACAATGCAAAATGGTCTGCCAAACCTGGCTGCTGTTATATGTGGATAAAACAATAAACAATGGAAAGCTCACTCCAACCGCTCGCAATCCAGCCCACACACGGCAAATCCAGCCCACACACGGCAAGCTCTCTCGAACCGTCTTCCCAGGCATTTGCCGATCAACATCTGGGGCTTGGCCGATCAACATCGTTGAGAACTTGAGCCCACCCATAAGAATCTGGGCCCTCAACCAAATAGGGTTTGGGAACTGGGCCGGGACCCCGAACGCGTCACTCGGTGGAGAAGGTCCGACCCCTGCCATGGAAAGCCCCGATTCTTCGGTGCAAAGGTCCAAAGCCGCCACCCTTCACTTCCCCCTCCTTCGCCACCCAAACTACCCGGGGTCCAAGGAGTTCCCCAAGCAGCCGGAACTTGAGGGACCGAAGAAGGGGACACTTGGAGCCCGGGAAGGTCGAAGCAGGTTTGGGGTTGACCAATTCCAAGTATGAACCCATGGCTGGGAAGGGCACAGTCCACCCCAGGTCAGGGAGGCCGCTACTCCTGGTTTGGGGCGGAGAGAGAGGTGTTGAATGGTGTTGACAATGTGTTGACGATATAGTTACGAAAAACACCCAAGTTCGACCTTCAAACCAATCCCTTGAGTCTATCCGAGTCTATCCAGGGTCAGGGGATGATGATGGTCAGGTTGCAGATCTGTCTCTAAAATAGCGTGGTAGTTGATCTTGTTGATCGACGTTTGTAGGTCGGACAGACTCGAACAATTCCAAAAGTGACCCCAGTGATGTCGATAGTGCCAAGCTCTCACTGCTCTGCAGTCCACGCAGACTGCTCGTTGCCAGAGCCGATAAACATGTCACTAGAGGAGCCGATTTTCACGTGAGTCACCACCCAAAAGATGGTCTAATGGTCTAACTTCCAATCAAAAAAAAGGTCATGTCTGCCAGCACCGAACCCAACAGGTCTCCTTTGGAGGGTTTTCAATTGGTGACCTGGTTTCAGTCGGTGCTGGTGGGTGAGAAAGGATTAGATGGGTCCTTTGCATTGCGTAGCGTTCCTCGTCTCCGCGGCCTCGCACTCGGGACTTCGGAATCGGAATCAGGCTGAGGAGCTTTTCATTGAACTGGAGCCAGTTGTGGGGTGGCTCTCCATCCACCAGCAAGGTCACCTCTTGCCCCAGAAAGGTCCCAACGGGCCTGGGAGCTGCGGAGTTCGCGCGAGCGGAGTTCGCGCGAGCGGAAAGCGGCGGAAAGCGCGAGAGCTCAGCAGCTGAAAGAGACGGTGCGCACCAGTGAAGCACAGGTTGGTGGGTAGTACGAAGCTGGAGCTTCCAACATGTGTGTTTCCTGTGTTTCCAGCTTCGGTGCCCAGGTTCACCACTTCTTTCAGGGCCCGCACACCAACTTGCGGACTTGCCCTTCCACTTTGTGGGGTACTCTAGGGTAGGTATCTACAAAGAACATCCGATGTACACAACATGCACGCGTTCCTTGTGACTTCAGAGGACCGGTATCATACACAGTCGGGGTCACGTACGAATTCGTGCGAAGGCGTCGGCACGAAAGGCATCTAATAGCGCTCCACGAGAGCGAAGTTAAATCTTGTTTGGGACGAATACATTGTTTGACCCTCTGGTACAAATTGTGTAGCAAAAGGCAAATCTACTATGTTGGCAATGGGAGCAATCAGAGAGCAATCTAATTTGGGAAGGAAAGGCACACGCACGTTCAACGCATATGCTTGACCCGGGAGGGAGGCATATTTATCCAAGAGGGCATACGCCAGCTCATTTTGCGGAACGTGGGACGGGCTGCTATTCCACCAATGAGACTTCTGTGAAAGCCTAAACGGATCAATGAACTTGCACCCGTCTTTTTATATCTCGGATAGAGTTTGGTTTGGCAGGTGTTTTCCAAATAACGAACAATATCCCGAAAAGCGGAGGTTTGGTGTCCCAGACCACGAAATTCAGGTGTTTGAATCATAACCTGGTTCGAAATCATATGGGACGATATGGGACGGCGTAACTATCAGAATCATGAAGCCACACAGGGAGGCATCGACCAGCTTTGCGATGGTCAACTGCAAGTTCACTCCACGTGATGGCCCCAAAACAGCCCCAAAACAGCCGATCGCCCAACCCCTAGAGATCCAAGTACATCGGGGTACCTTCTCAGAAGGTGATGGGAGACTATGTAGGCTTGGAGGGCCCAGTCGTACCTTCTGAGAAGGTATGTTGATCCATAGGGAACAAAAGTCCTGGAATCCCAAATCTGACCTTTCACTGGATGGTCTTTCCATGCCTGCTTCTTCCCTCAACTCAACCAATCCCCCCCCAAGCTCGGCTTCAATCCCTCTGTGCCGAGCATGGGAGCGAGGCTGTCGACCTCTTGGTTTTTCGAAGCTGCAATAAATTGAGTTCACCCGGACGGTGTTCATCTCTTACAGTATCAGTCCCTACACCTCCTGGCCCACCTCCTGAGGTACGATGGTTGGGGTGGGTGCCAGGGGGGTCTAACCACCGAACCTCAGGAGATGGTTGGAGCCACAGGGAGTATACTACTTGGTGAAAGCTCTTTTTTTCGCGAAAGTGAAGCTCTTCGTCGAAAGCAGCAACTCTTCCTGGTGTGTTTGCGCTACATGGCCAATCCGCAGGTGTAGCCCAGCCCGGGCCTAGCCCTGCTGCCCAAGTAACACCTCGAATTCTTTCCCCACCACCACCTGGCGGCGGCTTCGGCCGAGGAAAACGAGACGATACGGTGTTGAGGAGACCCCCACGGTCTCATGCGACCCCGCCACAACGACTTGACACCCCGACGGGTTTTTTTCCAAGCGCCGAGGAGGGGCAAGCGCCATGCGGAAGGACATAGGATAAACAATGGACATCCATGGGACAAGGAGACCCCTGGAACAGGAATGTGTGCCGAAGCAGGGCGCCATCATAGCTGTAGTTTGTTTGGGTCAAGGCCTGGGCAGCGCTGCTTCAACCCTAGAAGAGGTGCCTGAAGGGGAGAAGAGATGTCCGAGTCCTCCAGTTTCTTTCTTCTGCTTTAGCCTTGGCCTCGATCGCTTCTTGGCCTCGATCGTCTCCATAGTTTCCCACGCCTTCGGCGCTTTCTTTCGGGTCTCCCTCCGGATGCCTTGGAGGAAACTCCGCTTGACTTTCTGGTCGTCAAACTCTTCAGGCTTGTCATCGGGATTTCGTTTTCCAGCACTCGCACTGCCAGCTGGTGCGGGCACTGGGCTGTCCTCTGGTATAGCTGACATGTGCATCTCACAGCCCTTGCTGTAAACTCGGAGCGTGGGCATCGCAGCACTGTCACAACCACCACTCTGTCAGCGAGGCAGCCTGGGAGAAATCGAAAAAGCAGCCGCTGATTCGGAGTTCTCTCCACTAACCCGAAGCGGTCACCGCAGAGGGCAACAGCAAGAAACCCGCTGGCGTGCCCTAAACAAAGCCCAAGCAAACCTTCGAGCAGCGAAGCCCTAAACCAAACCCGAAGAAACCCGAAAGAAGTTCACCCTAAACCAACCACAAACAAACCTTAATTATAAAGAAACCTAAACCAAGCCCAAAGAAACCCTAAAGAAGTCAACCCCAAACCAAGAACAAACAAACCCCAAACAAACCAAGCCCTAAGCGAAGCCCAAACAAAACCGCCTAAAGAAGCCAAGCCCTAAACAAAACCAAAGCAATCCTGAAACCAACCCTTTCAACCAAAGAAGTCAAAACCTGTGCCAACCCTAAACAAGCCAAAACAAAGCCTAAAGAAGCCAAGCCCTGAACCAAGCCCAATCAAACTCGCGCAAAGAAACCAAGCCCTAAACCAAGCCCAATCAAGCCCTAAAGAAGCTAAGCCCCAAGCCAAGCCAAAGGGAATCCTCAAGAAGTTAAGCCCTGAAAACAAGCCAAAACAAACGCTAAGGAGTCAAGCCCTAAGCAAAGCCCAAACAAATCCTAAATAAGCGAAGCCCTAAACCAAACCTGGCGAAACCCTAAAGAAGTCTACTAAATCAAGCACAAACAACCCCCAAAGAAGCCAATCCCCAAACACAAAGCCTAAAGAAGCCAAGCCTTAAACGAAGCCCAAACAAACCCTAAAAGAGCGTAAGCCTCAACCAAGCCCAAACAGGCCCCAAAGAAGTCAACCCTAAGCCAAGCACAAACAAGCCCTAAACAAGGCCCTAGCAAACCCTAAAGAAGTGAAGCCCTAAGCCGGATTTTGCCAGCCTGTGCAGTCGAAACGCACTTCGCAGATCTCGAGAGGCATGCGTGAATAGCAGCGAATTAGCCGGACACGCCGATGGAACACCTCGATCAAACACCGAGTCTTAACGCTTACCGTAAGAGCTGCTATAGTGTCACCGACTGTCCAGCCAATCGCCATCCCCTGCAAACGCTAAATCCTGTTGCTAAGCCCTGTTGCTACCTGGTCGCTACTTCGCGAAAACGGGTCGCTGGTACCGGTCGCTGACTCGTGGTTGCTGATTTGGAAAAGCTGGTCGCTGTTTCGCGAAATCTGGTCGCTGATTCGTGGTCGCTGATTCGGACCGCTGGTCGCTGATTCGGAGTTTTCTCTGGCCTTTTTACCCCATGTGTCATTTCTGCGAGTCATTGGGTCATTGGTCTTTCCAGGTACATTGACCCTTGTGACATCGACCACCCATCCATGAAGCGGCTCGCTTCTTCAGTGTTCGTGGACCTTTTAGGAACCCCTTTGATACGACCTTTGATACAGGCGCAAGGTACCCACCTTGATTGTTGAAACTGGCCCAGACCATCCATGTATTACGGCATATTGAGCTACACTCGGGGTGGTTGACCTGGGTTCGACTGGCAGATGTACCGGTACCGATCGGAGGAAGGATAGGGGTCCGGGGTTTGCAGGACATCCACTCAGATGGGACGAAGCATTCACCTCCGGGTCGAAGGGGTCTCGGACGGATCCGCGCAGAAGCTGCTTGGTGGTGGAAAACGATGCTTGGGTGCAGAAACCGAGGATCTTGGGCACCACGGTTTTGGTGGGCCAGGGAGTCCTGAAATTGGGTCACCTACCAGGAGTCACAAAGGGGTTGTGTTTAGTCCCATCCAGTGAGTGGATAATGGGCACCCCTATCCTCCAAGTTCGGCACCCCTTTGTGACTGCTGGTACCTGGTTCTTCTTTTTGATGGTTTGAGGTCACTTGGGCCTTCAAAAAGATCATTGCTTCAAGAAGCTAGCTACAAACCTGTTTTCCGAAGACTTTGGATTCACTCGTAGGGGGGAGCAAATGTGCTGCTTTTGAACATGTGCATATTACTTGGAATCATACCCAGACGCGACCCTGGAGCCTCATATGGAAGGGTCGGACCCGAATCCTCTTGAAGGGGGTTTGGGGTCTGTCAAATCCCTAGGTTTTGAGGGACCAGTCGGGCTGTGTGGGTAGGAATTCTTTTGGCTGTTCTTTCTTTCTTTCCCACGTGCACCGTCCTTTTTCAACCCCGAGGTTCTCGCTCTAAAGTTGGAGCGTCGGTCGTGTGGCACTCTTGGGACCTCTCCATGGCAGGGGTCGGACCCGACCTCTTAGCAGGGGTCCGGGCCCGAACCAAACCCTATGTGTTGCTTCGGGTCCGGATTCTTAGGGTACAAGCTCTTTCTTTCTCGTGTGTGTGTTCCTCCCGAAAATGGCCTCCAGGAGGTTACCTTCACTCCTTTCGTTTCGGACGCCCCGAATGGGTGGTTAGACCTCGGGTCCAGTCCGCTCTTCGCTTCGGTCTAACCTCGAGGCCAAACGGACGGCCCGGGTCCTCCGGTTCCCCTCCGCCGCCCGCGCCGTGACGGCCGGCAGCTCGAGGCTGGAGACGCCCGTTGAGACGGCCGCCGCCAAGGAGACGCCGCAGCCCAAGCCCATGGCCTGTCGTGGTCCCGGACGGAGACACCGGGAGTCGTCGTGACGAGTCAACTCGTGAGGGACGCCAAAACGGGTCACCACGACGCATGGGGACTGGCATGATTTGACCGATCAGGGGTGGGTGGGCCAGACCTGGGGGTGAAATAGGTAAATCTGCCAGTCCCATGGGTCGTGTCTGTCGCTTCTGACCCGACAGGCCTCCAGTGTCACTGACTGAAGGTGTTGGCAGAACCCTCAGCCCTCACCCCCAAAAAAAGGGAAACTACCAGCACCCTCCAACAGGTGTCTATAAACAGCCTCTTAGAGGTTAAGAGGTGTCCCAAAACCACCTGTTGGAGGGTGCTGGAAGAGGTGTCTCTGTCTTAGCTTCATTTAAGAGGTGAAGGCTTTTTGGTGTCGAAAGCTGCTGGAAGCAGCTGGTCCTGGTGCTGGTGCTGGTGCTTGGTGGTCCGAACACGATCTTTTTGGATCGAAGGTGCCCCCCCAAAATGGATGGCACAGAGTGGATGTGTTGGGGGGGGAGGTTTGGAGAGTTTTGAGGACTCTTGGTATAGCAAGTACCAGCATCCTGGCCTGGTCAATGATTCTCGGGTCGCTCCACATCATCTTATAGATCTAAAGCTGAATTTTTGCTGGATTCCCGCAGCAACCCAAGAAATCATCACCCAACAGAGCACCGAACTTGGAGGAAACACAGGAAACCCTCAAAACCCTAAGGATTTGAGGGTCCGGACCCCACTTAGGAGGGTCCAGGGTCGCGTCTGGGCAGGACCTTCCAACAGGTGGTTATTGAACACTCCGAATCACCTCTAAGAGGCTATGTATAGACACCTCGACTGGAAGGTCCTGGTAGAGGACGGATCGTGCAGCGCCAGACCCGGCGCCTGGGTCTGCTCTTTCAAGAAGAACACCCACTAACCCCCTGCTGGTTGCGGGGCAACAAGGTGATCAAGGGTTTTTAGACGACTCCTGGCTGGAAATTCAGAAAGAGCCCATCACATGACCCTGGGGGTCAAAGACCACTCGAGTCAAGGAAGGCTCCGGAGGTCACCAGATGTTGGAAGTTCTGGTCGAACTGGGTGTGAGACCACCTCCCAGTCTGCCATCGACTGGTTCCCACTCCGTTTCACCACTTCCTCGCCTCACAGCAATGCCGTCGCAGGGTTTCACTCCAACCGGAACTCTGCTCGACACACTCGGCCAGCACCACCTGCTCCGGCACGGAGCTGACCCTCCGTCCAGCCCGTCCCCCCCGACCTCGCTCGCATCGTTTGCTTCGGAACAAGTCGGTGGATAGCTGGAGCTGGTCCGTTCGTCTCAAATCCGTAGATCAGACAGAACTGAAGACAGGGGTTAGAACCTGTTAGAACTGTAGATTGAATCCCATTCCCTACCTGTCCATTCATCTCCCGTGGTCAGACCCCCAAACCCACCCACCCCAACCACTGAAACGGAGGTAGGCGACTGGAGCCCTACGCGAGGCCAATCCCAATGCCTGGCAGCCACCTTATTTCTACTCGACCTTTCTGGCAGAAACACCTCCAGAGCCTCCTACTCAGAGTCCTGGTTTGTGTTCAAACAAAAAAGACAAATTACAATTCCCCACAAACACCACCTTTTCGACCTCAAGGAGTCCTTGTTTTTTTCCCATACACTCAATGTTTATAGACTCAATGCCTACATTGACTCCGCAAACCACCACCCCAATGTATATGCAGTCCCATGGCAGTCCCATTGGTCGCGTTTGGGTTAAGACACACGTCTGGCGCTGCTCGGGTCATCCGGTCTGGAGTCCAACTGGAAGGTGTTCGGTCACGCTCAGCGGTTGCTCGGGCATTCAGGCGATGCGAGTCGAGGGGGGGTTCAAACAAGAGTCCAGTCGACGGTCTGACGGGGACGAGTTGACCCGGTGGTGGACAGGAATTTCATGGAATTTCCTGAAACCTTCACCTTGGGAGTCAAAGACTATCAAAAGAATAGTCTTTAGGTGACCCGAGTTCAGGAATATGCTTTACTTCAGTCGTCCGTCAAAATACATATAGTCTTTGGACTTCTAGGGTTCAGGTCAGTCAAAAATATCGGGACTTTAGGGTAACACATCGAACTTGGAAAAGGCTTCCCAAACGCTCCAGTCGACCCTATGGAGGCATTCGGTCCAAGATGAGGAACCAAACGCTGGTCTCGGAGCCGTGAAGTACCGATCTCCGGATTGTTAAAGGTTGAGCTCCTCTGTATCCTGAAGCATGCTGAGTTGCGAACTCCGATCTTCGGCAATTCGTCGACTTCACCGGAGTGGTACACGGTTCTGGTCCACCCTGGGTTCCGGTCCATCCCCCACGGCGAGATGGGTGTCAGATCTGGACCTTCACCGGGTCAAAGGCCAGCACCCACACGAGATCGGGACCTCACCCGACTTTCGGTGTCCGAGGTCCCCGTGTTTCACTTTCGGTCGGTCGTGGCCCCCGCGTCGCAAGCTCGCGTGGAACGGAACACGGTCGCCTCATCGCTCTTGTAGCCCTGGCCCTGGTCCTTCAGAAACTCCTTTTCCTCCTTATCACCTAAACGGTGCTCCGATGCAAAGAATCTCTGGGCCCTACAAAAAAGGGCCGCACGGAGTATGGAGTGATGGGGTGTTTGGTTTGGGAGCAGGAGTGGCTGAAACATGCCAAAACAAAAAAAGATGACGTGTGAAGAGGATTGAAGAGGGAAACATCCCAAGAACAAGCTGGTTGACATATATTCATAAAGCTTTTACACAAAAGAACTTGAGACACAAATGCAAAAACCATGGCAAACCCAATGGTTGATGGGCTCGGAACCTCTTCTCATCTCTTTTTCAAAGCCAAGATCTCCTTTTCTGTTAAACCAGGGGTGTTCCTTTCTAGACCTTCAATCTTCCGTTCGACCAGTCCCTCGCCATGTCCGACACCATGGACCTCAACGAGATCCCGCCAGGGCTCACGTTCGACGGGGTGCTTTGGCTCGTCAGGCTGTGGATGTGACGACGGGGCACTCCTATCCTCCACCGTTCCTTCGGCACACCGCGACCTGTGAGCTCCTGGAGAATGATCTTGAACACCCCCCATTTTCGAAAAACTCGAGGTGTTGTCCAAAATCCGGAACGGAACGTTGGCACCTCGCGGGCCGCGGCGCGGGGTTTTTTTTCGGAATCCGGTGTTTTTCTCGTTTCGGAGTCGCCGGAGCGGCACCGTTCGGACCGGTGTTGTACACGGTGAGCCGTGGCGCGCAGGGATCCATCGGGCATAGAGCCGCTGGCGCGCAGTGAGCCGTGTGAGCCGCTGGAGCTGTGTGAAGCGCCACCGGTGCTGCTTCTCCAGGAGCTTCTGGAGGAGCTGTCCCAACTGCTGGTACTCCAATCCTAGACTCAAGATGGCAGGGGGAGGTGGTCTATGTTTGATTTCACCTGGACTTCATCAATCCCAGACACTCCATGGGACTGCCATATTTGCATACATTGACCCCTCTGGCACCACCCCTGGCCTGATCGGCAGTCCTATGGCAGTCCCATTAGTCGTGTCTGGGAATTATTGATGCAGGATCGCTTCCGGAGCCCCTTGAGCTTCACCTGTTCAAGGCGAGATGTCACCCCAGACTCGCTGTCCGTGGGTTGCAGGGGTTCTGAACGAAGAAAGGCGCCAACACATCGCTAGTTAATGTCCAGACACGAATCACGTATGACGTTTATGCCATACACTCCATGGGACTGCCATATATGCCTAGAAAGACCCGGCTGAATGTCGGCAGCACCACATGTGGCGCAGCGACGTCCCCGACCCTCCAAGTCTGGTCCAGTCTGGTCGGGGACCCGAGTAGACTACAGAGTCGGTACTCAGGGTACTCAGTACTCAGGGCCGGTAGAGCAAAGTATATACCTGGGCCCGACTTCACAGGTTGAAATGGAGGCTTTGGTAGACTTAAAAGTCGCAGGTGGTGACCTGTGAAGTCGGGTCCTGGTAAGTTGAAGCCTGCATCCAAGTTCGCTACAGTTCAGCAAAATGTGAGCCATTCGCAAAACGGGTCGTGCTTCGTCTGGGGTAGGGCAACTGCATTGTGCAGTACTGATTGCGCTATTTCAAGCTTGTTGGATTGAAGCAAAATCACGGGGGCATGTGGTGAACAAAATGCGTTCAGGACTTCCCCTTCAATTTACCTTGTGCTGGAAGGTGTTCCCGTTTCTCCGGCCAGGGTGACCCTGCGTGCCCGAGCGTTTGCCCGCCAGAAAGCCCCCCGTTTTTGGTCGCGCTCCTGCCATGTGGTCGCGCGCACCGTCCACGCGAAGATCGCAAGCCACAGCGCTGCCATGGGGCATCACAGATCAGCCCAAAAAGGCTCACAGGCTTCGCTTCCAAATCCTGGTAGACCTTGTATACCGCGCACCTCAAAGTTGGTTAGACCAGGGAACGAGCCTGCTGTTGTAGACGTAAAATCTCTTACGTAGGTCCAGGCGAGCCATTAAAAATAATGGTGGTTGGAAGCCTACTAACCCTTTGCCGGTGTGTATTTTTGTGTGTGGTTTACTGGTGCTTCCTATCGAGATCTTGCTGTCTTTGATCGGAACCCCTTGTCTATCGGTTGGATGACCCGCGATGTTCTGCTCGATGAACGAAGCGACCGGTGATGTTCTCTTTCGGGTTCAAAGAAACCCTGGGTTCGAACGACCTCAGGACTGACTTGTTCAAATCCATGGTTCATCCTGTCGACTCAGGCGTTGCAGTCTGACTTAGAGCCTCTGCTTGGATCACCTACCCTTGCTGCTCTGCTTGCCTCTGTCACCCACGTCGCTCCCCGGGGGCGACGAGCCAAACTGCGACGCGGCAGTTACGACGACAGGGGTCGATGGTGCGAAGCCACCCCCGACCGGGCCCGACAGGCACCCCCCCCCTCCCGGAACGCGGCCGAAACGGCTCTCGGTTCAGAACTCAGTTCAGCTTGCTTCAACCCGGACCGTTTGGACGTACCCGACGTGGTTTTGGGGAGCTCCATGGTCAGAAAGCAGAGGGGTACAGTAGATCTATCAGATTCCTCCAAGAACGTCCCAGCCTGATTTTTGGGTGGCGTATCTGGCAAGGCTCGTGGCAAGGCTGATCTGAAAAAAGAAGTGACTTCTTGTCAATTGAGTCGCAGAACTTTGCAAGTTGCGAAGTTGCGAAGTTGCGTATATATTATATATATATATATTACACAGTATATATTAGATCAGATTGCATTATCGTTCTAAACACTCCGCTGCTTCATGGAAATGGTTACCTGACTCTGTCTCCAAAAGCCTTTCCGGACCAAACTTCTTGGTGTCCCCAATATGCCCTATCGGTTTTGGGAGCCCTATCGGTTTCCAGTGTTTGTGAATGCAGGCAATGAACTACTTTCAATCAAGAAAGGGTATCGGTATAGGGCTGGCCCCTATCGGCTTTGCCAGGTCTTGATCAATTCTGAACTACTTCAGGTGGCTCATGACTAAAGTACATGCAGAAGTTTTGTCGGATGCTCATATGATATAATATAATATATATATATACACACTCTTCGAAATGGTGTTGCCTTTTTGTGGGGGCAAAGCATTCCTTCCAGGGATGCCTTTGTGTGGATTCAGCTAAAAACCTGCCAAACCTTTAGGATTCACGGAGGTGCTTCGTCCATTTCCAACACCACAGGACCAACCCGAAGAACGTTCCAGCATTCAGTGCCGAACAAGTCGGTTTGCGCCACGCTGCTCGTGCACCTGCCCGCGGCGAGGGGCAGCCGAGCCCAAGTGGGATAGCCCAAATCACTGTTCGATGGCGTTCTTGGAGAATGTGCTGGGGTCGTGCACCGGGGAGCGGCTTCAGGGGCTGAAGCCGCCGGTCTTCGCGATGTGGACTGCTCAGTTCAGAACACGCCGGAGGAGCTTGAAGATGTTGACCCGCACCGAGATGCTCAGTTACAGTATTCTTGATTGGATAAAGAGATGGTCAGGGCTCAACACTCCATGGGACGGCACAAGAAAAACACTCCTTGAAACAATTCATGGAAGTGGAACATGGCCCCATCGGAATACCATGTTCATCTACAAACACAATTTCAGTGGGTGTTTTCTACTTCCATGCACAAACAGACGCAAGGTCAACCACCCCAACTGCTCGTGGCTATGCCAGTCCGCAGCTTGTGGGATGTCAGAGCAAGATGTTGAATGTAGGAGTCGCACTGAGCGAATCGAATCAATGGCGCCACAATCTGTTTTGGCCCCAAAAGCGTAAACTTCCTTTGCCTTTCGGCTGTCTGACGGCTGCCCATGGGGCGGCACCCCCCCACCCCCCTTGTGCAACTGGTCCACACCTGACATCATTTCATCCTTCTCTTGACTAGGGTCATGGGGGGTACGCAACAAAAAGCGCAGGCCGTGAAGTGCCACTGCTAGCGGAGTTCCGCTAGGCATGTGGGTCCAATCAGCGCAGGCCGTGGAAGCGCCACAGCTGGACCCCTCTTGGCATCGAACCATCATTCGACTCACTTGCTTACCAGTGATTGTTCTTCTTCGACACCAAAAGGGTTTAGGCTTAGCGGACGTCTGGAGCGCATGGAAACGCCCATGGTGAGCACGTCAAAAAGCATCTCTGGGAGAAAACGGGCCACCCACATTCATCCTGAAACACATATAATTACATACATAATCATATATATAATATACAGTATACACATCAGTACAAAATGTACAATATGCGCCTGGCTTAGTACGAATGTTCATTGTAAACATGTCCATAATGACTTGTCATTGAGGTCCCATGTGGAAAATCGTTGGAACCTGTTCAATGACGCAACATGCAGGTTCCACTAGGGCGGAAAATGCATATGTCTTCCACTCTTGTTCACCTGGTATGCGTGCAGCTTCACTCACTTCTTCGTTCAGGCACAGTCCATGCCGGGGAGCTATTGGGCTCCTCACTGTCCGCGCTGGTTCACTGGCTGGGCAGGTGCTGGCTGTGGCAAAGGGAATTGATGAAGGAATGCATTCATATTGGCCCTCTGCTCCAAAGTGTTCACGTAGACCTGCGCTTCTCACGAAACGGCCTTCTAATGGAAGTGCGTCAAGTGGACATATATATATATATAACAATGTTGTTTTTTTTAATATATTATATATATACAAACACCCAAGTTCACGGGCCTTTGATTCGGTGGGGAGGGGGTCACAGCAAAAAAGAATGAACCGAACCGGGACGTTGCGAAGGACACGTCCTTCGCTCGGGTCGTTCTGCGTTGGTGCCTGAATCGGTCGGCGTGTGGGCGCATCGTTCTCTTCTTCGAGGCTTGGACAACTCAGAGACCTCTGGATGTGCGGCGCGCGCGCAACACCCAGGAAGTTCCCAGGCAAGACGCAGAGATGGTCAGCCATGGGTGTCTGTCTACACCGTCGAGCCACGTGCAAACAGCAACTAGAGGCCGGAGGCAGTTCATCTGCCGCGGATCCGTTAGATCACCAAGAAGAGCGACCGGAACAAGGGTTTTGAGATGTTTTGAGGGGCCCCAAACCCTTGTTATAGAGGGTTCGACCCCTTCTAAGAAGGTTCCAAGGATCCTTAGGGTAGAACATGGGACATGACCCTTCCCTACCAGGACCTTCCAAGTCCGGTCTTAGAAGCCTATCAGTCAGGTGGTGAACCGACCGGTCACCACACGAACGGAAACACAGGTGGGAAACCCCTGTGAATTTCGAGTCCGGGTAGAGACGTACTTCAAATATGTGTCAAATGACTGGACCTGTACCTGCTCCACCACATGAAGCGTCTTCACATGCAACAGATGACCACTTAACCCTATAAATGCGGCTTCGCCATCCGTTGATGTCATCATCGGGTTCCTCCTGCTCACCACCGAGCGGCGTCGGCGTCTTCGGAACGGTCGGGCTACGGGGACCGTGCTCCTTCGCCATCGCGTCTTCGACTCGACTGAAGAACCATTGGGGCCCCCCTTCATTAGATCCCTACATTGGGGTGGTTTTGGGGGGTCCGGTCAATGTAGGCATATACCCAGACACGACCTGTCTGGGACTGCCATGTCGGACTGCCGCCCCACAACGACCCCCCCAAAACCACCACCACCCCGATCGGCCGTTTCCGTGCCACTCGGCAGTACGTCCTGGCAGTCCCGTGAGTCGTGTCTGGGGATTGTTTGGTTCCTCATCTAGCTGCTCTCCAGTGCACCGGCACGGTCCGGGTCGGTCCGAGGTCCGGCCTCCAGCTCCTCTGCTTTGCTAGATGTGTGAGATGTTGTCAGGCATGGTCTTTGGTGTTGTCAGACGTGTTCCGACCATTTCCAACTCTAGATGAGATCTGACCCGTGCCCAATCCCTGCATGAATGTCTGATTAGACCAGACAGCAGAAGCTTCTTCAGCTCCATTCTGGCTCCGTCAAGCTGTTGATGCTGTTGCAGCAGGAATGTCCGGAGATTGTACAAATCCATGCGGATTGAATCTGCAAGGCAAGAAGAACAAAAAAGAAAAAACAGACTGTACTTGTACTTGTATACATGACCATGTGTCTTTTCCATTGGCAAGTCAGACTTGCAAGACACAGAACGTGTGGACCATTGTGATGAAAAACCGGAGACCGCCCGGGTGACTTGGTCTAAGCCCTATTGGTCGTTCTCATGTCAACGCTCGCACTGTCGTCGTTCTTCCGCACCCGGAGACCGGGGTGCCGACCCATCGTGCCATGATCAACTCAAGCCAGGCGTGCCGTGAACCCGTGCCATTTTGGTCCAAAAAGAAGGGTCTGACCAGAGTGGTGGTGTTTCCAGAACGTCCCCCTCCTTGAAGGAGGGGGCCAACATATCGTCTTTCAACGGGCAATGATATGGCCTGAAACAAGGGTAGGCTCCGAACATCACGAGACACCGGAGCATGCTCGGACCAGCCGAATGGATGGGTTCAGCCGTCGACCCGAACCCGCCCTATCGTCCGAAGGAGCAGACATCCTTCCTTTCGCAGCGCGAAATCCATGCACCATCGGACAAACCACCCAGGCATGAAGCTGGGACCCACAGCAAGTTTGGTGGTGAAGCTTTGAGCGAGTTTTTGACACATATAGGAGTTCCTCCGATCGAACGGAGGGTCCAGAGGTATTATACTATATAATATATATATAATATATTATTATATATATTATAGAATATATATTATATATATTATTATATATATATATTTTGAAAATGCTCCCGGGAAGATTAACATGGAACCTGAAAATGGACCTTTGGAAGACTATCTTCCTCTACAACCCAGTTGTTTTCAGGTGCTATGTTAATCTTCTAGGGTGTATATACGGTATATAAATACTTGTTTATGTATACATTCATCATGTGCAATACATTGACACTCAATGACGTTTAAAAAAAAAACTGGTCTAGCCTAGTGTAGGTAAATATGCCTGTATGGGAAAGATGCAACCAATGCTGACTTGATTCCAAGAAAACCAAACACACCGCCAAGCACCCCACAACCCCTGCAGACCAGTCCGCAGATCGATTTGGACCAGCCCGAGCAAATGGAAAGACTGAAAAAAAAAATACAAGTGGCGATGCCAAGATGAAGAGACAAGTGGTCTCAAATGGAGCATTGTTCCCGTCTATACCATTTATCACATACAACTGGTTCAGTTCCTGTGGTGGGTTCATCTTCATCGCCGTGTCTACCATGGAAACCCTCGATCTTAGCTTCCAGGTCGCCCCGACGGGCACTTCGTTCGGCTCTTTTCCTCATCTCGCAAAGGGCTCCAAAGCCTTTTGCAGATCACACTTCTCCACGGGCCCATGTGGCATCACTTGATGTCCTCAGTCGTGGAAAGCATGTCATGTGTATACACATGTTGCTCATGGCTTTTCGGTGAGAAATTCTGAAGACTTAGAAGATCCAGGTAGAAAGACCTGGTACAAACAATATACAGGATCTGAATCCTCCTGTTTCTGCATGAGACCGCGATTTCGCTCCAGCTCGGACGGAATTTGAGCTTCTCATTGGGAAAAACAGACTCTTTCTTCAGAAAACGCGGACACCCAGATGCTCCGTGAAGACAGTCCGACTGGTCCCGAACCAAAGCCATCGGGATTCGTTTCGAAGGTCCGGAACCTCTGGGATGTCCGAAATTCGGCCAGTCCGGCCCCCTACTCCTTATCGTTCGCGATGCCCCGACGCTCGCTGCAGTCGGTCGCGGCTCACAGGTCCGGTGCCCAACGTGGTTCCGGTGAGGACCGGTGGTGGTCGTTGACCGACCCGGTTGAGGACCGGTGTTTTGGTGATCGGTTTCATGTGGTCCTGTGGTGACCGGTTTCATGTGGAGCTGGAGCTTCTTTTGGAGCTGGGGGACACTCATCGATTGGACCTCACTGAGCGAAATACTTCGCGAAGGGCCAGGCAGGTGGGGTGAAGCGAAGCAGAAGCCTTGGACCAACTGTCAACTCCACTTCGACCAGACTACCAGGACTTTCCAAATCCGGTGGCTTTTGGACACCCCTTAACCACTAACAGGCTAATTATAGACACTTCCGGTCTGGAATGAGTTGTCGCTGTCACAGGGCTGTCAGATGCTGTCACACGGCTGTCGAGTGGATGGATCAACAAGCCACTCCAGAAACATGGTTCTCTTCCTCCGCGACGGTGCGTGTGTGTGTGTGTCCACCTCTGTAACTAAGAGCTTCTGTTTTTCTCAACTTTTAAGTCGCAGGGAGCGTGACGGTCGATTTCCTAGTCACGCCAACGAAGCTAGGGAAATCGACTGGATGGAAGTTTGGACGCAAACTTCTGCACCTGCGCGGATGAAACTATTGCACACGCTGTGACTCCACTTTTCCTTTTGTTGTTTCCATGGTGGTTGTTCGCGTGATATCCCCCAAAACAGGTGTCCTTAGCTTTGGTAAAGTGCTAGTGCGTTTGTAAAACAGTTCTGTTCTTCGGACCCTTGCACCTTACCGTTCTTGCAGTAAAGGGATAATGCAGTAACTAGATTACGCAGTCAAGTGAACAACTCCTTTGTTAAAACACCTTCAAGTGCTCCGACTCTTTCACCTTTCGGTTGGAATTGAGTTAACTGCAAACCAATGTCAGAGTGTGTTTGATACTCGCCAGCGTCACAAACAACTTGCACCACGCCGAAACCTTGTTAGACCTACAAAACCCGGCGCAAAATAGACAGATAAACACTAGAGACCAAAAACGAACGAACGAACAAACTACCAAGCAAGCAATCAAGCAATGAGCCAAACCTCTTCGGAAAAAAGAAGATGAACTCCAGGCTCTTTTCCTCCGGTGCCCTCCACTTCCGGACTTTACTGCGAGGGGCGTAGACAGAACCTGAGATCGCCCGCGCGGGTGACGATTCGGCAGTTCGGCCCCGGAGTTTGGGGTTTTCCACCAAAGAGAAAAGCCCTAGGCTTCCAAACAGCATGATGTTTAATGATTGTTGAATGGTGTTACCGAACCACCATTGTGTCACCATTCTTGGACTTCCAGTGTAATCTACTATGTGCTCGTATTGTGTACAGGCGACGCATGTCGGTCATGCACATGGCGCGTGCCTTTAAGGAGAGCCCTCCGGGTTCGCCTAGGACAAAACATGAGAAAACCTTTTGGGTTGGTCGGGTCGCTCACCGAAAAGCACGGCGCAGCATGACGCAGCAGCTGCGCAGCGGCGCGATGTGTCTCGCTGTTCGACCGCGGGAGTCCAAGACTGCGGAAGGTTGGCCGAGACAGTACTCTAGTCCGGCATCCAGCGATTTCGAGGAAGGCAACTTGAAGAGAAAAGTGGCCCAAGTAGAGCTTTCTGAACAAAAGTAGGCTGTAAGTAGAGATTCTAGATGATTCTAGAGAAGAGTATCCAAATAGAGATATCTATCTAGCAAAAAGTATGCATTTCCAGCAACGAAGTAGGAGACACTAGAGTCACTCAAGTTATTTGGAGAAAACAACCAAGGATTGTCAATATGGAATCTGTGCATGGTGTCGGGAGGAATCAGCAATACATTAAGGAGCAATGTTGGTGTTTAGGGTTTAAAGGCATGACAATATCCTCACCAAGAACAAAACCCTCACCCCGACGCTCCAAACAGCCCTTGGTCCCTCAAAACCTAGGGATTTGAGACCCCAAACCCCTCCATATGAGGGTCCGACCCCTCCATATGAGGCTCCATGAGCGTCTGGGCAAGAGGTGAACGATCTGTGATTTCGTTACCTGCTTCTTTGCTTCGTCGGACCGCGAAGTCCACTTGGAGACCGCGATGGTGACGTTCCGGGTCTATTGGGGAATTGGTCCAACTGGCTAGACGAGCGGGGAGGTCGGAACGGGGAGGGCGGTCTCCCTAATACTGAGCATCGAGAACACCTTTCGAGATTCTCCACTCCGTTCACTGTGGTCGTTCGAAGGGAGAAGAGGACTGGGACGTGGCGAGAAGAGAAGCAAACACTGGCCTGAAAGTCCAAGACCAGATCTGGTTTGATTCAGATCCTTTTTGAGATCCTTTACCCTAGAAGTCCAGTTCGACTCGATTTTGACCGACTGAAGGTTCAGGAAAGTCCTGAACTCGGGTCGCAAAAGACTCAAGACTCCCAGGGGGTCAGAGAAGCAAGGAAGATGGTGTGAGTCTTGAAACCAGAGCACCCAACAAGTGTCCCCTGGAACCCCAAATGTTGCCTGAGAAGCCAGGTGTTTTTAAAGCTTCCTTCCTTCGAACCGGCTTCCCTATACCCCGGTTCCAACGAAAAAGAAGGGAAGCAACGTCCTACGCCACGTCTGCCACGTCTGAAGGATCAAGCAACGTCTTCAGCATCTTCATGCTCATGGTCTTCAGATCTTCTAAACCTGCAGTGCCCTCCCGATGCCGACCTCCGGTGCTTCTCCCTCCCGGTGCTTCTCCCTCCCGAGTTGTCGAGGATGACACCCCGCTCTCTGGGTGGTGGTTGTAGATGGTTGTAGTAGTCTACCGCTGAAGGTTATGGGGGATCAGGTCGTGTTCTTTCGAAACATGGGGGCTGAACAGGAGTGTGAACTTGTTCACCTTTTGCGCTTGGCCAGCGGTCTCAGCGTGGGCATTTGCAGGCCAGGGTTGCAGAAACTGAACAAAAAGGACCTCCCGGTCTGCGGCGTGTTGTGGCTCTGCTGTGGCGCTCGATCCAAAAGCGCCTTATGATCGAATCTTTTGGGATACAAGAAGCCGCACATGTTGGTGCGCCTTCAGGTGGTGTTTCTGTCGTGGTTTCATATTGTTTTTGCGACGTTTCATGCGTGACCTTTTGTAAAGGACAAGGATCCCCATTACATCATGAGATAGTTATCGGGTATAATGACGCCATTGCATCACATCAACGGTGACTAAGAAGAAGCCCATTCCATCCATTTACCGATCCTTCCCTTTCCACCAGGTCAGGCCGCTGAAGCTCGACGGCGTGGCGCTCCCACCCACGGTCTGCGCCGCCGTCGCGCTCCCGGCGCCGCTGGCGCTGGCGGCGCCCACCAGGGGCGCGCTGGGCACGCCCAGCGCGCTGGCGACGGAGCGCATGCCTCTCATGGCTGCGTCGGTGCACGGCCGAAGTCTATTGCTCTCAGGTTTGGGCGATTGGCGGGCCGATCCATGGCAGTCGGCCGATCCGTCGAGGCCGGGTCGCGAACATGGGGACGAGGTGCACGACGGTTTCGTTTTCGTGCGTTTATCTAACTCAATGTGACAACAAGACCTGCGACGTGCGAGGGTAAAGCTACCAAATGAAGAGGTATAAACTTGGATCTTCCAACGACACGCAGAGTCTGTGCGGCTTGGCTGGCATCATATGGATGAGAATGCAGAAATTCTGCATATGTTTATCAGATCCTGCAAAAGGGACAAACATATTTCATGTCCAAGTTCATACAACTGTCAAAAGGCCCACACCGGCTTTCTTAGTTCTTTGGAGAGCCGAAGGCCACCCGAACATGAACTGGCAAGCCCCGCTCGCGGAAAAAGGCAGCAGTTCACTTCCACACCAGCACCAGTCCCAAAGCAAATCAGAGATTGAAAGAAAAGATCATCAAAATTGTGTTCTTTTTGGTCTTAAACACACCGATTTTGCCCAACCACCATCCTTGACCATTTTGCCCAGCCAATTTCGCCATGAGGACGGAGAAAAAACACCCCCAAGTCGTCGCTGAAAAGCCACCCGTCTTCCGTCTTCCGTCTTGCCGGATGCTCCGGCCGGACGCTCGGCCTGTTGCGAAGGGCTTTAAGAGGCTCACCAGATCAGTACGTTCCACTGGGCCATGTGGCATCCTGCCAGAAGGTCAACGGACGCACCCGAGGCGATCACGGTCGAGACGCTCGACCAGTTAAGGAAGACACCAAGGTTCCGAACGTCCAGTTCGGTATCTATGTCACACCCAACATGTGCCCGTGTCCAAAACGTGTCCACGATTTTGGAGGGTTTGGTTGAAGTAAAGGAAGATCTCTGCAGATCAGTTGAAGCTCCGATCCTCGGGGGTCAAGCCGCCGTTCTTCCGACCCTATGGTGCCCAAAAGCGTCAGACTCTCACACAAAAGCTGAAGCCAGTCTCCCCAACATCATGTCAACTCCACCTGCTCTTGCCCTATCTCGGAGGGCCTGCCGTACTGAAGGCAGATATTCTTCAGCTTGCTGATGGGCATGGTCTGCAACTCCTCCAGAGTGAAGCTTGGGAGGACCTGCCACGTGGGTGCGAAGCGGAAAGAGAGCGACCTCGCGACGAACTGAGCTGTGAGGAAGTGAATAGGAGCAAGGCAGACCCTACGCACGTCCAGTCTGACCCAGTAAAACCTGTTTGTTTACATCCTTAAGTAGTGATTTTGTATGACCAACTCCAGTATTTCATGAGGTCAAACAAACCTGTAGCCTGTAGGGAACGATTCACACCTGGATCTTCCTGTCTGGGTGTACTATATCTCTAGTGACTAGTTAGACTAGTGACTATAGTGACTACCCTGCACTACTATCGATCTTCAGGTCCAGGACCTTGGGGTCCAGGTACCTGGATCCTTTCAAGAAGTTTTGCCATCCATTGTCCTTCAAGATGCTTTTGGCTTTCCTTCATCCCTCTAGTTCGACCCGCCTCCGGTGACTCGGAGACCGGAGCCTAAAAGAACCCCTCTGCCCGGCCTTCTTGACCACCGCAGGCGTCACAGGCTTGGGCGCCACCTTCGCCAAGGGAAGCAAGGCCTTCTTCAAGTCGGACTTCCTCGTGGCGGCAACAGCTCGGGCAGCGCAACAGGGAGTTGATCCAGAAGGCCCCTTGGGTTGGGACCGAGATGGGGGGCAGCTTAATGGTTGGTGATGGGTTGAGATTGGTGACACATGCTTCTCAAACACCGGTGTTTTGTGTCGTACCCTCTACATCGAGATGTGTGGTATCATGTTGTGAGATCCATCAGTTTCCTCGCCCAATTTGGGGTAGAACGTGACCGAAATCATCAAGTAGGTCGAAACCATCAAGTAGGTTCCGGGCTTGCCCCGAAGGAAAAGAAAACAGTGGAACTCATCCCCTAAACCTCCAGTCGTGCCCTCTGAGAAGGTGGGGACTGGGCGGTCGAAAGACCGGAAAAGGCAAAGACTTACAGTATCTCGTTGCGTGCACGATCAAAACCCAGGCTTACAGTATCTTGGGCTGTCGGCCTGCCGTAAAGTCACAGTTGGTATCAGTTCATGTGACCATTTGTGGCAATGTGGGTCAAGGCCCTGACCCTATATAGTGCAAGAAACACCTTGTTTAAGGGTCCCTAAGCCGCGTTTTGGGTCCAAAACACCCAACCGGCAAAAACCACCAAACCGATCCAAACCGGGTCTTCATCCATCTTCATCCCCTTTTTGACTTCTCTTTTACAAGTCAGTCAAGGTCAGAACCTCGGAGAGCTGCCGAGCTGTCGAGCTGGGTCTCCCATCAGCCACACAGCTATGAAAATAATAGGAAAAATGATGGTGAAGGCCAAAAATACCTTTATAATTACATCTGTATTTTTGGTCTTGATGTCCTTCCTGTTCACTTAATGAAATTCCAACCATAAAATATGTGCATGGAATTTCATTGTCGTTCACTTTCTGGCGTACCAACCTCTGTTTTTTAATAAAGGGCACACATATTTATAATTATTGATGCTCATGTTTGCCTAAGGAAACAGAGGTTGGGCCCTACACGGCTATTAATTTTGGACAAGAAAAATGACTGCCAAAATTAATAGCTCCTAAAGGATTCAAGAACCTGTTATCCTTGGCGAGCCACTGGAGTCCATGAACCACAATCATAAGCTGTGTCTAAGGTGGGTCGGTCATGAAGGTTGATCGGGCCTGATTCTACCTCATGGTCTCTTCTCCAATCCTCTCCACCCGCCCCAGATGGGATAAGGAAGGGAGGTCACTCGCCTGGGATGAACTGGCCTGCCGATACACCTTATGGCCTTGTGGTTAACTCCTAGAGACAGATGGGATAAGGAAGGGAGACAGGTGGATGAGATTGGGCCCCTTCTTGGATCTGGGGCCCCCTTACACATCCAAGCCTTTCAATCATCAACAGTGGTCATGGTGTCTCCAAAGATAAAGAGAGAAGGAAACGATGATTGAAAGGCTTGAGGGACAGATCCACCATGAAAATATTATGTCAATGTCATGTCACATGTCTCTATTTTTTAATGGTGGATGGTATCCTTCAGGGAGTCTTGGCCCTGGGGGCCCCCAAATCCATCAGAAGGGGGCTCAAAGGCCGCTAGGCGATGGCTCCCTGCGGCACACGGTTGGATTTTGAGGGATTTGCGAGTCCCATGCGGTGCCCGTCGACTCGAGCTTCGGTTCCCCTGGGCGCTGGTCCAGCGAGCGCACCGTGAGGGGGGAACGGCGAAGGTCCGATCGTGGGTTTTCTGCAGACCGTCGAGGACAATGACTCCTTCGACCTCTCCAGAAACTGATGGAGGGATTGACGACCAGGTGGAATAAACCCTAGGGGCTCCTGGCCATTCCTGGCCCATCTCAGGTTCGGTGGTGTCGACCCCCCAAAACCCACCCCAGTCCCACCGAGGGGGCGGCCAGGTCGGCCGTAGGGACCATGAGATCCACCAGGACCCGAAGTTTGGACCTCTCCGTGATCCGGAGAGGTCCAAGGGGTCCGGACGACACCTTGAGACAATCCCAATAGGTTTTGGTTCGGGGAGGCCAGAACTGGTGAACCACCGGAACGAGCGGGAACTGGGTACGGAACCTCTGGGATCGCGGGACTGTTCACGCTCTGCAGCTTGATGACCGATCGCGGGACTTCACCGAGGTCCATTCCCAGACCGGGTTTGGCCGAGCTTCTCTAAGGAACCGCTGGGCAACCGCCCGAACTGAATGCAGTACATCTTCAGTTTGCCTCGAAGTCAGCTTCTTCCAGGGGTGAGACGGTGAGGCGGGAAGGCTCTCTTGGGCCTTGAGTGCCCCTGCGGAATCCGGAAGCCTTTTCAATGGAAAGGGGAGGCCCCAGGGTTTGGTCTTGTCTGGGTGGAAATGGTTGTTTCGTATCTTGTTGCTGGGACAACTCCTGGTTCAGGAAGCGCTCAGAGCAGGACAAGCTTGAAGGGAAGTGGGAATCGCGATGCTTAAATGTTCTTCGACGACCAGATCTAATTGCACAATATTTGATGCTGGCCTGGCACACATACACATGTGCATGCTTTCCCATGTGTCCCCTGTTGAGTGTTTCGCTGCTTCCTCCTTGCAAGGTTCCTCTCGACGGCATCCAATCTGTTTGGATGCATACATGTGGGTCGACACCTTTAACAGGAACATCCGGAACCCCTGGAAGTCAAGTCGACCATTTTGAAACATGGGAACTCTGGTGACTTGTAGTGTAAAACCCTTAGTAAAACCAGCTCGGTGCTTCGGGATGACCTATTAAAACCATGGTGGGCCACGACTTCCAGGGGAACAGACGTATGGCGTCGTGGCTCATGGTACCCGGGGTCGCCCCGAACTCACTCACCCGACCACCCGGTTGACCGGTCAGTGGATCCGGTGGGAAAAACCGTCCCAACAGGCTCCGGTCACCGTTCTTGAAACCTGAGAGTGGGCCTAACCCCCCAAGCCTCCATGGAAAGGAGGAGAGCTGGGAGGAGTCGGGTGCTGGAAAGAAAACGAAAGAAAACCCTACCAGCACCCGAACTCGGCCAGGCTGCTAGTTGAGGGTTGTTGGACCCTGTCTCAGGTCTCAATTGGTGACCTGTAGAGTCGGGTCCTGGTATAGAAGTCCACGAACAGACGATCTCTTTGACCGATGGTTTAGGTTGACGTTTTTAGTCCACAACCGGGTCACCGAGCCTCGTCGGACCCTTCTTTTTATAGCTAGTCGACTGGACTCCCAGGGTCTTACCTACCATGTACCAGCACCTTCCAACAGGTCTCCTCTGGAGGCTTTTGTAGACTTAAAAGTCGCAGGTGGTGACCTGTTGGAAGGTCCTGGTATACAAGTTCTAAACCTGGGCACCTCTACCGGGCCGTCTTAGGATCCAACTTCTATCTGCTCTCCCGTCTCGACCCCGTCTTCGGCCCCAGGTGCTGATCGGCATGGTGTCCAGGTCTGCTGTGGTGAAGCTGGGTAGGTCACTCCGGACGCCGTTGCCCGGTCTGGCCGGCGGTTTTGGTGGCGTGCTGTTTCGACCGAACAAAGTGGCGGGGGGTTGGCGGTTTTGGCGCGCGTTTGGCGCATGGAACTCTGCATCGAAAGTGACGGTTACACGTTTTATGGTGTCCAGAAGTGGCCACCAGGTTTGAAGCAGTGGCGATGGTCACCACCAGCACCCGACGAACAACCCAAGAGGTCACCACCCCAAAGACCTGGACCCGTAGAGCTCGGGAAGACGCTGGTTCCGAAGAGTGAGGAAGTGCCCAGACGCCCCGCTCCGTGGTGAATCCCGGTCCCAGCGGCTCCCGAAGCCAAAGCCCTTGGGATTGGTGAGGTTACGTCCGGGACCCCTGGGATGTCCGAAAGTTCGGCCAGTCCGGCCCCCCTACAGACAGCGTCGAACGGAGTCTTCCAGACAGCGTCGAGGTCGGAATTTCGCCCATGGATCTTCAGACCCACATGTCGCTAGTGCCGGTTCCGAACGAATGGAAGGAGGGACGTCGGTGCCCCTGTTCCCACATCCACGAGCAATGGGACGAACCAAGCCATGCGTCTCCTCAATGTGTCTCCTGGGCGTTTCTCTTTGGAACTTGATGAACCAGGTTGGGGTCATGCGGACAAATACTCTCCGCGTCTACCCGTCCCCCACCAAATTGCACCTGTACCGGATCTTCTGCGCGTGTCTCGCTCGTGCGCTGCGATCGATTCGCGTCCTCCCATCCGATGCGATCGACGTCGTGCCTTTCCACCGCGCGCGCAGTGGCGCAGGAAGACGAGGCACTCTTGACCACTGCAAGTGGCTCCTCAGCTACGGAGAACAGAGAAAAACATCTGGACCCTCCAGTGCGTACCTCGGAAAATAGGTAAAAATGGTACAAGTACCAACATGTGCCAGTTTTGCTTCATTAAATAGGGTCATGTCCCATTTTCTAGGGTACTTGAAGTCGGGTCCAGGCACATGTGGGGGAACGAGATCCTTCGTCTCGGTGCTTCTCCCAACGTCGGCACTTGAACGAACGAAGTGTAGCACCACGTCTCTGAACTTCGGCGACGAAAAGAGAACATGGACTACTCCACCTGGGGCCCTCACAACCATGAAAAACACAGGTTTTCACATACAAAAACAATACTTTTGGCTATACCCTAAGACTCCGGACCTGGTTCCCAACACATAGGGTTTGGGAACCGGGCCCGGACCCCTGCGTTTCGAGGTCGGGTCCGACCCCTCCCACGGAGAGCCCAAGGATTCTTAGGGTAGGAAAATTCCATCCACCACATACCAGTGGTAGGGGTAGTTCACGGGTCATGACTGGGCTGGGGTCACATGACGCAGAAAACGGGTGGTAAACGCGCCACAAGCAGAGCTCAGCTTGGATTGTGGAAGACGGCGCTCCGTGCACGCAGGGCCCATGTTGAAGTGTTGAAGCATATGTCAGGGCGAGCTTGCCCATTATTGGGCTTATTGCGCTGTTTTGCGGCAATGGCGAGACTCTCCAACAATGTCGACACATCCTTCATCCTTCCAAAGTGCCAACCAAAGGCATTATTCCCACAAAAACATAAGCACTCCAGGTGACGACGCTTTTGTAGGAGGACTTTGCTCTAGTCACTCGGGTCAACTATAGATTGGGCAGAAGACGTTCTTTGATCACAAAAATGGATGGGTTTCAACAGAAGGAGTAAACACAAATACAAACCTCTCGGGTAGAGTTCTTGCAAAGCCTAGAACAGGTTTCGTTGCCACGGAGTTGTTTGGGCAACAAGTTGGCTGCAGTGGTGGTTTAGGACCAAACCCTGTCTTTCCTGAAGCTGCGTCCAAGCAAAAAGGAAACGGTTTGGAACCATTCAAGGAGGACTCAGGTGATCAAGACTGCTTAACAAAGACTTCTACAGCACCTGGAATTCCGCTGGGAGGCGATTGTCCCCAATCTCCACTCACTTAAAGCCTCCAGGGCTGCAGTTCATCAGACTAAACCAGATCCAGATGATCCGGAATGGACTGCAATCGCGCGTGTCCATCCGAACCCGTCCAAGTGGTCTGAAGCCGGGAACGATTCAGGACGTCTTCGTGCCCCTTTTAGGCCCTTCTAAAAGTCAACGTAGACGGTTCCAAGTGGAACATGCTAGAAAAAACCGAAGCTGGGCCGACTCTTCCGGACCAAGGAGCCAGGGCTTTCAGCAGATCCGTACGCTCCACCATCCCAATCGGCAGCACCTCAAACAGGGCTTCGACTCAATTCAGCTGGCTTTGAGTCGGGCTCCGCCCACGGTGGGAACATGTTCTGGATGGAAGTGCCGAAGTGAAGTAGGTGTGAGTGTGTGGTGTGTAAGTGTGAAGTGAGGTACATATACCTGGACCCTCCAACAGGTGTTTCGTGGTGACAACAGGTGCCCAGGTTCACCACCTGTTAGGCTTCTAAAACCACCTGTTGGAAGGTCCTGGTATATACCCCGAAAGTCGAAGGGTGACCCGAGTGGACCGGTATTTCCTGACACCTTCAGTCGGTCAAAGAGATAGTCTTTGGGCTTCTAGGGTATATAGTTTTAAACCAACCAGCAAAGGTTTTTCAGAACCCGAACTAGGCTATCCGAAGCAAGGTGCTTCTGTAGGGTCCGTCGTTATAAGGTCACTTGATCTCTGTTGGCACGGCCGGCACTTGGATGGCATGAGCCAACGAAGGCCCATCCCAGTTGCTGTGAACACGTACAACACAACGTTGCAGGGCTAAGCGATCATCCCAGCTTGTCGAGACTGCTTCAACCGGACGGTACCGCCTGCCGGACTAGCTGCATGTGTAGACCATGGACTTAGGAGGTTCTGGACTTCAACAACGCTTGAAAGCTTTACTACTTCACTTTCATTCCCGGTGTGTGCCTGTTTCTGTGTCTGTGCTGATGTTCCTTTGGTGATCCGGGACCGTTTTGCGGCCAATTCCAGGTGGGATGTGGGGTGGTTGATAGTGGTTGAGCCTTAGAGCATGTTTTTTTTCAAGGTGTTGAAGGTTTGGACCTTCGCATCAGATTCGAAAAGCCCATTAAGCACATCGTGCCACTGGCTTCCTTTGGGCATTCACGGGTGTTTAGAATCAGAATGCTTTCAGGTTCGAAAAGTACCTCACAAACTGGCTCCTCACTTGGGGTCTCAAGCTAGCGCCAGATTGGAACTGGCCCAGAACTGTTTCTGATTGGGACTGGGGAAATCTAGGATGATGCAAAAAGCTATCGTTGGTTGGTGGTATTGTGCGAGCACGCGGCAAAGAGGAAACGGTTTTTGGTGGTTTTCAGGATAGTAGAGCTTTGGGTTCCAACACGACCCAAGAGGATGCTGAATTTTGCTAAAGCAAGCCTCTGAGACCTCTGACGCGTATTCTTGGAGGCTTTCCCTCATCAATCTGACAAGCCCAGGAGAGCGACACTGAAGTTGGAGGCCATCGCTCTCAGGTTGGAGGCCATCGCTAGTAGTTAGGTTGGAGGCCATCGCTTCTCGGTTGATGTCCCTTCACCCCACTGATGGCCAACACAAGTCCGCACGGATTCAGCTTGATCCCCGAGAGAACCCAGGTTCTACATACCGAACCGAACCTCAGGTTCGCTTCTGGACCCATCTGGCTGGCACCTACCACTGTGTAGAACACCTGGCGCCACATGAGGTGCGCGGTTCGCTAGACGCACGACGCGTCGAGACTCTCGGCAGGCCTTGTACTGAACACACATGTTTCGCAAGGTCTTCGAGGGATATCCTGGCGACGCGAGCCGCGGGCCTACGGAGTCACCAGGCCTGTCGAGTCACGCCGAGAAGGCCATAGAGTCAAGGAGGTCGCGAACGACCTGGTTTTTGGTCGGTCTAAAGCCGTAGAAGATTGGTGGACCTTGGGATTCAGGCCATTGAAAAAAAGGGTTGGAATCCCAACAAAAGCATTACATCGAAAATGGAATTTTTATGACGCACCGCCGTCATGCCATGCCTCCATCTTTCGCCAAGGTCCACGGTTGTAGGAAAGAAACCAGAATATGATAGGTGGAGGTTGCTTGATCTGGAGTCGACATGATCGGTCCGTCAGTCCACTGTGTGTGTGGCTCAAAATGTTACTTCCAGAACCCGCAGGTGTGTATCTATAGCATCTATGGTCTATGGATCCTTTACAAAACCCCTGGAAGTCCAAGACCGTTAACAAAAATGCTGGACCTGGTGTTGTAGTGTTAAACTCCTTATATAATATATATAACAATATGTGTAAAGAAAAATGGTGGTTCGGGATTCGAACCATTAAAAGGAATGCTGGGCCAAAAAGCCCTAGGGAAACCGTGGATGACACCCCATTTCTGAGCAGCATGGAGATTCCCCGGAACTCTTGCATCCCTTCCCTCCCTCCCAACCCTGCTCTCCTTGCAGATCATCCTTCGTAAAGCTCGGCGCCGGCGGCGGCCGCGCCACGTGCGGCCGCGACGCGTGGCCGTGGCCCTCGTGGTGGCGCCGGCGCTTAGGCTCGGAGGCACGGCTGGCTGAGCGACGGGTTTTCCGCTTCTTCCCGCGCGACGAACTGCTGCTTTCCCGCGCTGAGCCTTAGAGCGAGCGGTGATGGCGCATGGAACCCATCGATTTAAAAGGGTATGGCCCGGGCCGACCGCGCCATGGCCGAAAGGGAAGGCCCCAATGATGCGTGACTGGGTTCCTTTGAGGGTGTGTTCCAACATGGTGAATGGAAGTCCAAGACCATGTCTTCGTGGTGTCCAAAACAACACCCTGGAAGTCCAAACGAAAAGTCTATAGAGTCTTATAGAATACCTATAGGCGGAGAGCGGAGAGACGTGCTCCGTGCTCTGGTGGTGGACCCTAGCTTTTCAAGACTATGTTCAATAAATATCTAAAAATGGGAACGAACTGTTTTCGTAGCAAACCCTTAATCAAACAAAGGTCAGTCATTGAAGTGGTCAGTCATTGAATTCGAGTTCAGTCTTTTTTTGGACATTCAAGCTGCGCCAGCGAAATTCCGGGTCATCTCATCCCCCTTTTGGTGAACAAAAACTGATCCTCGTCTTGGAGCTTTCAGGGTATTCCCAGCACTTGCGTTAGGACTCATTTTAGTCCCACCTGGTGGTTCATCTGCACCACCACCGTTTCGGAGTAGTTCATAGTTCCGTCCTTGTCCGGACACCTCAACTACCTATCCCTCCGCGCCGCAACTGCCTATCCCTCCGCGCCCCGGTCCCTGCTCGAGGTCTCCGATGGTCGTGTTGGCCCTCGCTTCTGCCCGTCCCAGGTTCACCCCACGCTCCGTTCGTCCAAGGGGGCTGCTGCTCCGCGCGCGCGAACTGCTCCGTTCGCTGGAAGACTCCTCGGACTCTTCCTCCTTCGCTTGGCGCTCCTCCTCCTGAGGGGACGAGGGGGAACGGTGCCGGCGATGGGCGGCGACAACTCCAGGGTTGGCCGGAAAAAAAACAGAATCTTCCCCAGGGTTTGGGGGATTGGCTCAGTTCGGGAACATATCAAATCACCTTAAGAGACCTGAGGCAAAACTAGGACATGGAAGGAATGGATCGATCGACCCTCCTGTCATATTCCTTCCCGGCGGGATCGATCGTAGTGGGCTGGCGTAGTCAGATCCTGGGACGCCCAGACAGGTCCGGAAGTAGATGGATTCCGTCTCGAATCACCTGGCAGGACCTTCCAACGAATGGTTTTAGAAGCCTATCAGTCAGGTGGTGAACCTGTGCACCGAACTTGGAAACACAGGAAACACAGGCCATCTTGGAGGGTCCGAGTAAGGGAAATTCCGTTTCGACTCACCTAGTAATAAGACTTTCCAAGTGCGGTGGTCAGGTTCACCCCCTGACTTCGGCTTCTAAAACCAAGGAATGATTGGAAGGTCCTGGTATATACACCCTAGAAGTCCAGCTCAGATATATCTTGACCGCCAGCCGGTGTGAGGAAATTCTGGTCGACTGGACTCCCTCCGTCCAGTTTCGACCCCTTGGTGTCGTGGAAGTCGACCCACCGAGCTGTTTTACTATAGGGTTTTACACTCCAAAACCAGACCGACCAGTTTAAAAATGGTCGACTTGACTTCCAGGGGATCTGGAATTCTTGCACGAAGCGGAATCACGTGGACTTAAGGACTATAAATGGATCCAAGGGTGCCGAAAGCGCTCCAAAATGGTCAACGGGGCTCACGACGCGCGGGGTTCCGGGAGGTCCACCCAGTTGGCGTGTGGGCGGCCGTCTCGGTGTGTTCCACGCGTGTTCTCGGTGCAGTGCCAAGCTCCAGAGACCCAAAGTGATCCAAGGTGTCGGCCACAACTCTCCCCCCCCCTTAAAGGCGTCCCAAGGCGACAGGGCAGGATAGAGGTGGGACAAAACTTAACACCTTTGCTTCCATCATGCTAGTCATTCCTCTACCACCAGATAGGGTGTTTTCAAGAAGGCAGACATGAGGCCCCCCCCGTGACCAGCGGTCCTCCTTCGGAAGGGTCGGGATCTCCGGCAAAGGCCCTGGATCCATTCCAATCACCTGCCACTCGGTGGCACGGCTTGCAAGCCGGGCGCTCCACAAACTCGTCTGTTTCACAGAAGAGACCCCCCCAAAAAAGCAGTTGGGCCAGTTAGGCCATATTATGCATTCTATATTTCACTATGGCAGAACTCCGAGTCTTCCTTTCAGCAAACTTCGTTGAAGCAAACTCTTTCCTTTGAGGCATGGTTTGCCTGGCAAGACCCGTGTTTGAGCGGTTTTCACCGCTGGACGTCGGGAAGAGAAGCCCTCTGTCGTCAAAACCAAGACCATCACCCCCTGACCAAGTGAAAGGAAGCCTCAGGGGCGGACCAAAACTGACTTGCTCCAGTCCTCATGTGGGTGTGTCTTGTCCAATATGGAGACCCTCAACCCATGATTCAATGGGTATAGAGGGTCAATCCAAACCAAACAGAACCGAACCCAGCAGGGTCTTGCCTGGGAGGTCTCCCTATTTTAAGACACACCCGGAGTTTCCGACAATACGATGCAAATGCAAACAGTTTGACTGACTGAGATGTTCTTCGACGAAACACCACCCCAGGCTGTTCATGGCTGCTTCCAAGGGAGTCAAAGCAAAACGAATCAGTTAATTTGATCTATAGATGAATAGAGCGATTATACATATTTGCTTGAATATAAATATATAATTCAAGAGACTCGATTAAACGAAAAAACGTCTAGAACATTCTAGAATCTACAAAAAAAAATGGCGGAGAGCAGAGAGACGTGCTCTCTGCTCTCAGGTGCTGCCTCGAACCACCAACCCATCCGTGCCATGCCGCCCGGGGCGCCGTTCACGGGAACCAGGTGAACTAGGCACCCCGTGGTCTGTGGTCCCGGCAACCTCCCCGTTCACGAGACGCCCAAGCCCAGGGCACAAGGCTTAGACTCCACAGACGCCGTGGCTTCAGCCATGCAAGTACAAAGGCACCGCGGGCGCCACCGGCGGGTGAAGCCAACACGAAACCACCCAACCCTCGCGGTAACGCGGGCGCATGCGGCTCGGGCACATTCGCCACAGCTCGGGCAAAGTAAGGCCCCTCCCACATGGCCAGCAGTAACTTCTTCCGCAAGATTTCATCGTTCTTGAGAAGCACCTGGTGGACACGAGCCATGCAGCTCTCGCTGCAGACATCTTTGGTCCGCTGGATATATATATTGGTCATTATTGGTCCTTTTGCCAGGACAGAAAGCTTCTGAGGAGGGGGGTGAACATCTGGTGAAACGAGGGGTCCAAAATGGTTTGATTAACAAGTTCTCTCTTCCCACACTGCTTGATGTGACATCAGCAAGCCTCAAAGACAGAACAAATATATACTACCAGCACCCGACTTCACAGGTCTCCGAGTTTTGGAGGCGTCCTGGTAGACTGACAGGGCGTCGCGACGGTGGTGTCCTGTGAAGTCGGGTCCTGGTCTATGGGAAAGAAACCAAGCTCCAAAAGAACAACCCTAAGAATCCGGACCCGAACCAACCAACACATAGGCTTTGGGTGGGAACCGGGCCCGGACCCCGGACTGTTCCGAGGTCGGGTACTCTCCCCCTGCCATGGAGAGCCCGGACTCGGATTCTTAGGGAACTAGAATTCTGCATACATACCTGGACCCTCCGAAGGACCCCAAAAAGAACCCCGTTCGAAAGACTGGCATGTTACACCCGAACCAAAACCGGAGGTCAACGACCTCCAAGTCGCGGTGTCGACTGACTCTTGAGTTCGGATTCTATGAGCAGCCCCCCCCCCCATGTGAAACATCCTCAAAAGTGGGGGGGGCTCATTGAATCCGAACTCAAGAGTCCACATGAACCCACCCCACCCCCTTCTTCCTTCCGCCACCCGGGCTCTTCGGACACTCTGCCGCGGACCCGGCCTCGACGTCGCTGGTGTTCTGCCGCCGCGAGGCCACGAACAGGTCGGCCGTGACCTCCGGTGCCGGTTCACGGAGCAAACACCGGGAGCGAACAGGTGTTCACAGATCTTCATCATCAAAAAAAGGAGCCATTTGTTAGGTGAAAAATGAGGTTTTGGGATGTCAGATTCTTGGGAAAAGGGCCGGTTCTGTGAAATTTCATGACGTTAGAAGTCAGAAAGCCGTCCAAGGGACAGGTGTTTCCGATGTGTCCCTTCATTCGGGTGCCCAGGTTCCGGGGATGCTGAGCTTGGGCTCCAGACTTCCTAGACCTGCTACCAGCACCCAACGGCAGGTCACCACCCGCCCCTTTGAGCCCCTCCATTTCACTTTTAGCTCTCGGAGACCCGGCAGGTCGACCCAGTGCGGGTATCAACCCTACGAAGTCGAACCAAGGAGCTTGGTTTTACTATAGGGTTTTTGCATTACCAAGTCACCAGATCGTTCCCATTCTTAAACATGGTCGACTTGACTTCCAGGGTGTATGTATGATTCACCCGGTTCTGTGGTGTAAAAACCCTGAGTAAATGAGTTTCTTTGGGCTTCAGGCTATTGAATCAATGATGCTTGGAAGCCGAAAAAAAAGACATCGTCCCACCTCGCGCAGCTTCTTCTTCCGCTTCACCACCTCCTTAGTCACCACCGTCGGTGAAAAACGACACCAGCAATCCAATCCTGTTCGCCTTCCGGTTGAGCTGGTTCTGTAGTCTAAATTCGTAAAGAAGGGTTGTTGGGGATTCAACTGATTGGGCTCCTAGCCCATCTCCTCAGGCGCTTAGACCCCCCTGGCACCCACCCCAACTACCTTCGTTTCACGGAGGCGGGCCAGGAGCCCTAGGGAATTCCTGGTGGGCCAGGAATCGTAGGGTTATAATAATGATTCTTTGTAGAGTCTAAAGAAGGGACCATCGCAGCCCTGTTATACGATTTTACACGAGGTCAACTTTTGACGGTCGAACGGCAGGCTACGGGGCATAAGACCTGACCTGGTCGGAGACTGAGGAGACCTGGCAGTGAGCGTACTGGTCGAGACAGGTCATTCAAGCTTCTCTTGTGGCCGAGTTACGGTGGCAACAGGCTGGAAATGTCGTACCGCGCTTAGCCGCGCGGTCGTCTTGGCCTAAAGAGCAATCAGTATAGCTATACTCAAAGTACCTTTAAACATTGGAACCATCTGGAACCCATAAACACCGGTGTTTTCCTGGTGACTGGAGGTGCCCAGGTTCACCACTGATGTTGGCGTCCCAAAACCGCCTGGCGAGGAGGGTCCTGCTTGACGTCAGCAGAGTCTCAGTTGCCATATATAGTGAATTATAGTGACACAGTGACCCGAAAATAGATATAGGAAAAGCAAAGCCACTCCAAAAAAAATGTGGAGTTCGAAATCACGAAACTATCGATTTGAGTCCCATCGTTCGAGCTCCTAAATATGGGGCGGTCTCTAAAAAACCTAAGAACCTCGCCGATCTCTCCAATACTCCTCCACTCTACTCTACTCCTCGGACTGCGCTTGCTGTTCAGGTTCCCTCTGCGCAGGCCAAGGCAAGGATGCGATCTCCTGTTGCGGAGCGCGGCTATTGTTCAGAAGGCTGGATGCTGAACATGTGTGCCCAAACGCTCCAAACAGGCCTTGGTCCCTAATCCATAGGGATTGGAGGGTCCGGACCCCTCCATGTGAGGGTCCGGCCCGTACTTAGGAGGGTCCATGAGTGTCTGGGTGATGGGGAAGACGTGTATAAACAGTTTTGAAGAAAGCAAGTGTTTTATGTGTTGATGTTCGAAAGCTGTATCCCTTTTCTGCCTCCATGGAAGCCATGGCTTCCATGATTGACCCCAGGCCCTTCACCACTGGTGACGCTTCTGGCTGGATTGGCCATTGGCCTTGTCCTGAAACTGTGAGTGGATCCCCGTTGTTCAACTGTTTTGTCCAACTCAAAGCATACCATGGAAGTCCACATGACGCACGCCTGTAAACCCCCGTAAGGAAAAGTGGTGGATTGTGACATTACGTAAGGATCATACCGTAATACCAGGGCAACATCGGTAAAATGAGTCATTGGAACTTCTGGGATAGCGCCTTTCCAAGTTTCCAAGTTGCATGGGACAAGCCCACTGGAACTGATTCGATGCATGGTGTGTTTCTGTTTTGTCACGCTACCTTCCAGCCATTGGGTACTCTGGGCCGATCGAAACACACAGCATCTGTAATGGGAGGAATACAAACGACAAACGAAGCATGACGGTCGAAAGCCCTTGTTCTCCCCAACATAGACACAACTTGGTCACCAAAAAACAACCCAACCAGTGGATGTCCTGTTGGTCTTCGGTCTTGGTAAACATACACCTTCAAAGTGCCACAACAAATCTGCTCAGTCAAGAAAAAGAACACTCATCAGTGAGGGCACCCCTGTTTTCGGAGCGCTCCTCGGTACTCTTCGATGCCAACGAGCGCAGCGCTGTAGGGGTCAGTTGAAGGAGTCGCAGCACCTGGGGCCAGCTGTGTTGGCCCCCAAATTGGTAGAAATGACTCATGGGTGGCTCCAACTGTACACTTCTTCCAACAACTTCATCCCCCCAAAGCCTTGACCAAAGGGATCGAACCATAAATGGGAGAATCCAAGACTCCAATCCAAGTCAGCTGATTCAACCCGTGATCCGGGTCACATCGGACGCTGGTCCGTTGCTCGGCACTCCCACTCCGGTGCGAAGGAAGTCCAAGCATGCCAATCAAGAGAGTTTGAGAGACCAGAACTAGGACATTGTAGTGGCGACCCTATGGGATGGGCGACCTGGCTGGGCTCTGAAAAAACCTCTCGGTAATCAAAAATCACCACTCCGCGGTTTCGGTTTCTGGGGTCGGACGAAGGGAACCGGTGGGAGCCAAGCTGGAAGGGGTTGGGATTCTTAGGGCACCATGGTGCCATGGTGGGCGTTCCGTGGCCCAAACACATGGGTCGGTCGATGGCCAGACATGCACGGGAGCACGGAGCACTGGACAGCCATGGCAAACCATGCAAGGCATGTTGTGGTGATCTGAAGTCCTCCCAAGGGCCCTGAAGTATGGGGTGTGTGTGGGAGATGATTTCTCCCAGAGCTTGGAGAAACCTCTCCTACACCAGTTGTCGATCTCATGACTGGTTTCCAGTCCTGCACCGAGTCCGTACCAATACTACACCGGTGGGCCGACTGGTTTCCGGCGTTGTCTCGCTTGAAGCGGACGAAACATCTCCCTTCACTCTTCGGTAGTGGTCGATCAGCCAAAACGGGAACCATCGGCCGGACTTTTTGAGGAAGAAGAACCACCTACGGAGGTCTCGCGCGTCGACCGAGTTTCTTCCAACCAAAGTTCAAGCTGGAAACACACAGGTCCGGGATTCAGGAAAACCAACAGATGTAAAGAGAATTTACTGCTCAAGGTTCAGTACCTGAAAACCCAGTCTCAACCACAAACAAGTCTGGATATCAACTCCCCTTCCATCTTATTCGAAAGCCATATTGGAACAACCAGAACTCTTTCAGCTTGGGACTGGACCTGCTCCAGGATGAAGAAGCCACAGTCGTGTGCACTCTCCTGAGACCAAGCGAGTCTCCCGAAGATGGAACTGATTGGAACTGCCTGGCGATTCACATGCAAATCATGACCCCAGGAGGGTCCAGTCATACCGAACCTGAGGAGGTACTGTAGGGAAGAGTGTCCTCATCGCTTCCTTTGTCCTTATGTTGAGTCTTATCAGTCCTAGACTGTTAGGATCCTGTCCTCTGAAGCGCACTCTGCACTTTTTCCTCTCACCCTGGTCGGGTCCGGAAGCTTGTATGGCTTACAGGCTATTGTTTAAGGCATGCAATTGTTTGCTGCGTGCGGAGAGAGCGATCTCTAGCCTCTGCACACCCCAACCTGAGAGAGTAAGTCTGAGAGGGAACCCCAGAATGGTGCATGGTTATATAATGGAAAATTAACCTCTATAGTACGGCTCTAAGGCTTAGAGGGGATAATAGCAACTAGTTGGACACCAGCTCCACCCACATGCTGCTTCCACACGCAGAAAAAGAAAAGGCGTTCCAAACCCAGGTCAACCGAAGAAGCAGAAAAAGGTCGACCGCAACAACACCAGATTGGACCACAGGGTTCCGTTCCGCGATGTCGGCGCGATAGGGATCTCCTGCTGAGGTGTATCAGGGAGCTGTAAGCCGGCAGCGACTTTCTCATCGGCATAGGGCTGACCGTCCGCAGGCGCATGGATCTCGCATTCTTTGCCACAATAGCCCCCTGACAGATGGAGTTTCAAAAAAGCCTTGGGATATCTTGGGATCCGGACAACAAGTGACCAGTATTGTGAATGAAATGTTCAGGCCGGTGTGCAATCGGAATGGAAAAAGCAAAGAAAACACCCTCCAACTCCAACACATTCCAACACTTGCTTGGTGTAGGGGCCAAGAACGAGGGCTCTATACCTGGCGTGAAAGAGACTGGTTGTAAGTGCTTAATTCTAGCACCCAGACGCTCATTGACCCGAACCAACTGCTACATGTTGGTTCGGTCCAAAACCCTAGTTGTGAGGGTCAAAACCCTAGCTATGAGGGTCCAATGAGCGTCTGGGCAGACAGGATATATGACCGCCTTCGCCCGTCTTTCAGAAATCGCTCCGCTCCTTGGGGGGATGAGCCACGCCCTAACCGAACGAAGGACCATTCAATGAAGTAATGGTTGACCGGGACGACCCGGCTATGAAACGAATGCTGGTTGGAATCCTAGGACAGTCGAACTACGTCGGTTGTCTCATCCACAGAACTCCGTTGGAACTACATCCTTGGGTGCATGGCTGCCGCCACTCCTGAACCGAAACCGAATCAAGTCGATCTCCGATCTGGCACAGCGAACAGTTGATTGGGAGTCCTATCGACTCGTTTCAAACATGTTAAAACACTCCTTTCCATACATAATAATCATATATACCAGGACCCGACTCTACAGGTCACCAATTGAGACCTGAGACAGGGTCCAACGGGCCCCTCAACTAGCAGGCTGGCCGAGTTCGGGTACAGGTATAGGAGATGAGATGACCGGAGGTCAGTTTTCTGGACTTTGCACCCCAAAATCCTCGGGTTGGAGGGATCGATGGGATCGATGTTCCATCCAAAACCCTCTCGTCCTCAACCAACGGTCGTCCCGGTCCCGCCTAAGAGTCTCGCCGCCTGCTGCTGTGACTGGTTGGGTTCTCTTCGGAGCTCCAACTTGAGCGGAGGCCTTCAACCGTTTGGAACGGCGGAACCGCGGAACCGAACTGCCGCGGAACGGCCGAAATGGCGGAACTGGTGAGGCGAGATCTCGAGTCTTGGCCGCCACTCGTGGAGGGCGGTGAAGTTTAGGTCATTGGGCCCATGGGAGAGATCGACAGCTTTTGGGACACAGGGAGGTGACCTCGGTAGTGACCTCGATGGATCAGCCGCCATCCATTTAAGATGGGGTCCTTTTCGATCGAAACAGGGGTCAAATGTACCAGCACCCGATAGAAACAGGTCTCCTAGACTGGTAGCTTTTACTTTTTCAGGTGTCAGGTGGTCACCTGTGAAGTCGGGTGCTGGTACTTCTTGAAACCATCATGGAAGAGGATGGCATGGCCCCTTGGAGAGCCATTTTCAGAATACCAAGCAAGTGGGGGTTCACTCCACGTAACCATGATCTTCCATGTGAGTTTTCCTCGGAGTGTAGCTCCACTCGGTGAAGACAGGTCCAGAAACAGGAATGGCCACTCTGCAGTGGGAACACTTTGGCACCATCCAGCTACTCCGTCGTCACAACAGCTCCTCTTCCGTTGGGATGAAGAAAAGTGCTGGAACCCTTGTTCTAGCTTCACTTCAAAAAGTCTGCTGCCCTCTACCATCTGCTGCACGATCCAAAGTACTTCACCAAGGCGCTTGTACTCCGCCACACCTGCATAGTGGAGGGTATACTCTCCACAAATCCTGGCGTGAGGAGTACCTTCTGCTGCATGAAGCCCAAACAAAAAAACAGAACGTCCAGACCGCAGGGGTGGGGCCCTAGGGGCCCGGTTGAGGTATCCAAAAAGCGGTTCGAAGTTCGAAAGGAGTGCGTCGAGTCCAATCCGGCCGCAGCCTGGGTTGTTCAGGATTACAACATTGAATCAGTTCCTCTGGATCCAGAGAAGAAGTCTCCGAGAATGATGTGTTCGAGTCTTTGATGTGTTTTTGAGTCCGGAGGATCCAGTCGTAGCGAACCTGAAAAGGTGGCAGCGGACTGGTATCGTTGGTACTGCATCCTACTGTGTCTTCGGAGTGTATGACATACCCAGTTTTCACCACTGGTCTCATGCTTTCGGAAACGGCTTAGTAGGCCTGACGGGGTCGAACGTCTCCAGTTACTTGGGCCAAGCTCGCCTTCCAGGTTATCCTGGACACATCATTTTACATAGCCCTGTCCATTTTGGAGAGCCATGGAATTAGACATGAAATGATGGTCCCAAGCTGGAGGTTTCGGGCTCTATGAAGACAACCATAAGAACTCTATCGAACTAGACGTTGAAAAGATTCGTTCGTGCCCTGTGTCTTTACCAAACTCTCCATGATCCCCACACTCGCGATCTCCATCTTTGTTTTACCTTTGACTTCTCGCACGGGCCTTCGAGTAGTGTCCTGTAGAAACAAAATGGATTCCCCTTTTTCCACGTTTTCCACCATTCATTCCGCCAGCTCTGAACACTTCAAAACCCATCCCCATTTCCGGGACTTTCTGCTTCACTCAAAGGAGGAGGCGCCCAGCCACCTCCCCATGCCTCCCGTACCATCATGCCGCCCCACGCTTCCTTCGCGCATTTTCGTGCGCGCGGCGCGTGAAACACACCCGCCGCGCACGGCTCCTGGTGGATGAATCAAAGGCGAACTCCAGTGTGCCTTCCAACACGCCTGGCACCCCATGGTCTCCATAGTTGCGCACCTTCAAGTCCAGCTCCGGCTCCTGGGGCCATCTGGGGCCCTAGGATCCGAAAGGACCTTCTCCACCGAAACGGGGTAACAGGGGGCAAGGGGCTCAATTTTGACACCAAAACTGGATCATTTGCGACACAAGTACTGTACATTACTACTATTACTACTACTACTCCTCCTCCTCCTACTACTACTACTCCTCCTCCTACTACTACTCCTCCTACTACTACTACTCCTACTCCTACTGCTACTACTACTACTACTACTACTACTGCTACTGCTACTGCTACTGCTACTACTACTACTACTACTACTACTAATGCTACTACTACTACTACTACTACTGCTACTGCTACTGCTACTCCTACTACTACTACTACTGCTGCTACTACTACTACTACCACTACTACCACTACTACTACTACTACTACTGCTACTGCTACTGCTACTGCTACTGCTACTGCTACTGCTACTACTACTACTACTACTACTACTACTACTACTAATGTTGACCTTTGATTTATAAACGCCCCTAGAATAATGTCACTTTTTTCCTGCACAGATTTATAAAGGCCCCCAGAATAATGTCCTTTTTTTTTGGGAGGGGTAGTTGTAGTGGGATATTTTTTATTGTTATAGTTTTCTTTTTCCCTTTTGAGTTTGCTGGGATTTGCTTATCTTACAGGCGTTTGGATGGATATTTCTATTAAACAGTTGGAGATTTCCATTGAGATTTGATGCTTTTG